CATGTTTGCCAAAGTTCAGATACTGAATTTGTCCATCTCTGTGAAAATCAATTAATGAATGTGTGTACTTTCTGGATTATACAGAAATGGGTTTTTTTGTGATGTGCAAGTACTTTAAAATGCCTCTTATGCCATGTTCGCAACAGTTTTACAAACACACTCTATGTTCTTAATGCCCTTTCTATCTGACACTGTTCATAAAAAGGTAAAGGTAAAGGTTCCCTTGCTCGAAAGCCAGTCGAATCCGACTCTAGGGTTGCGGTGCTCATCTCCGTTTCAAAGCCGAAGAGCCAGCGCTGTCCAAAGACGTTTCCGTGGTCATGTGGCCAGCATGACATACAGAGAGGCAAACTACATGGTTAAGTCTCTTCACTTTTTTACACTAATTTGCATGTTCCCCGCAGCCGCACAGCTTCTCCCCCCCCCAAAAAAAGGAGAACCCAAATGGGTTTGGAATGGCACAGCAGAGGGAGAAAGGGCTCCTGCCCCCCTCCCCCAAGTAGTGTTCTCACACAAAAACCACATGGGGGAGGAGTTATTTCACCAATTTCACTGCTCCACATGAAATAGCAAAATGACTCCCCCTCAACATGTTTTTGTGAGAGAAAACTGGGAGGGGGGGCTAAACCTGTGAAAGGGAAAAATACAGGCCATCATCTTTTGCATATCTTTATTTCACTTCCAAAACTGATAGCGAAAAGGGATGCTTTCAATTAGTAAAGCTGCATGTTGCAAAGATTCAGGTGGGTAGCCTTGTGGGTCTGAAGCAATACAACAAAGTTTAAGTCCAGTGGCACCTTTAAGACCAACAAAGTTTAACTCTGGGTATAAGCTTTCTTGTGCATGCACACTTTTTCAGATTTATCTGAAGAAGTGCACATGCACACAGAAGCTTATACCCAGAATAAAGCTTTGTTGGTCTTAAAGATGCCACTGGACTCAAACTTTAGTCTACTGCGAAGAATCTGAAAGCAGAACCATAAAACAACTGTGGTACAGTCACTGACCAAGATCTTCCACAGAGGAAAGCCAGAGTGTTATCTAGCCCTTTTGTTAAAGTATATGTGAACAACAATACAAGTAATGCATAGTCTCCACACGAAACCTAGCAGAAGTACCAAATGCAGTTTGCTTCTGTTGTGAACACAGCTGTAGTGTCATCTTCTAAGTTCTACCTAAATAAAGGTGCAGGGCTCCAAAGCTTCCACACAGTTAACCATCTAAACTCTCCCATTTTTGCTTGTGACAATGGAGTTACCTTAGTAAGAACTGCACTCCCAGCCCAAACAGTACTGTCAATTCAAACAGTGTTGTTTTTCTGTGCCTGTAACAAACTAAACAAAAAAGCAGCAGGTCTAAAATGTCCAGAAGGAGGTCTCCTGAACACATAACTGGACTCATGCCTCCAACAGAGCATACATAATGTTTAGTGCCAGTATCTACTGGTTTCCATGCACGCACACAAAGCATGGCAGCAAAATAACTCTCTCAAAAAGCAGTAAGAGAGCAACATAAGAGGATTAGGAAACAAAAGTCCTCTTTACTTTAAGACGTCTTAAGAATTATATTTTTCAGTCTATGGAAACTGAGTAGGATCGCAAAATGAGTAACTAACTACTACTGAAAAAACGCCGATACTATCTCTGGTAAAGGAAAAGAAACATGACAACCTGGATATTACAAGGCCTTTGTGGGAAAGGGCAGAACTAAAACCAATAATATCTTTTTGCTTTTCTATCACCTCGTTATACTGGCAACTTGCATTAACTTACTGTACTGATAAGGACACATACTATGCAAATGTGTACGGAATGTAAAACAATGGCTTACTGCTTGGAAGGTTAATAAATTGCAAATAATAAGGTTACTGCAAAAGAATAATGGCTGCTGCATAAAATACAATGGGACTGTGGAGGCTGCATATTCACAGGCCCCTTTAGATCGTCATAGTTTCTGAAAATCTCAGATGGATTCTGTTTTGTGAACAAATTAACCTTGTCTGCACACTTTTTAAAAATTCCACTTAATACTACACCCTCTTTGAGTAAATGAACTGTCCTGAATGCAGACATGCCAGCAGCAAAACAGGTTAAGGCAGGGCATGAATGGGATTTCTTCTGCACACAAATGAACTGAGATCCTATAAATAAAAACGTTGGTTGGTTTGTTTTTTTTAATGACTCCTGGCTCTCTAAGACCAGCTTCACAAAACTTGGGACGTTCTCTCATATTGCCTTCAAAATCTGACAGCAGAGGACGGTGGGGCTAAGAGGCTCAAGGGAGGGAAGTGACTTCATCCCACAGTGGGAAGGAAATGAGCACTAAGATTTAACTCCCCATCTTCTCCCCAAAATGTAGAAAAGTGTTTTTAAAAAATCTTGGTTCCATTAGCTAGATACTAGAAGGGGGGGGGGGGGAATAGACATTCTGTGTAGCAAAGCTGTACTATCTGCTTTAAATGGTCTCTTGCGCAGTCTTCTTAAAATGCAAGAACCATAATCACTACTTCACTGGATGCCTCTTGGAAATGCATGGCCAACCAATGCAACAACAATTCCAGACAAGATATCGAGTACTAGGGCAACATTTCAGACTTAGTATTCTCCATACAGCAGCCATCTTCACAATCACTGGTTCTGCAGTGGTTATTGCTCTCCAGCTCTGATGATGGCACAATAAACAAGAGAGGCAAAAGGACAGTAGAAGACTGTAAAAAGCTTTTACTGTTTATGCATACTGCCATGACAAGAAATTATAGCATTCTTACAACTGGCCACTAGGCTACGGGACAGTATATCTGATCAGGAAACACAACAACATGAGAGAAGCAAGCTGGAATCTAGAGAACGGTGTAATGAAGATTGTTTTGACTGTATTTTCAACAGACGGCAAAAGAATGCAGCAGCATGCAACTATTGTAGTTACACACAAGGTATTGTGGCTGCAACAAACGTGACTCTAAGGACTGCCTCCATGACAATCATTATTTTCATTCAGGGAGCCACCTTGAAACAGCCCCACACTCTCCATTATTTGCCCTTGCTTTCTTGAAGGTGCTTTAAGTGTGTTTTTTAAAACTAAAATCTACTTATGATTGTATTCTGGATACTTAAAGTTTTCAATTTCACAGAAAAAATGTCTCTAGGCTTTTATAAGAACCTTTACTGCTCAAATCAGAGTTAGTACTTGCACCCCACAAACAAGCAATTAAAACACATCACAGACCAGAAGAAGTGTTTGTTATGACATTTAACATAAAAAAGGTCCTGCCGAATTTGCCTCCATCTGTGCCAATATAAACATTTCCTCTTTCTCTCCAATGATTACAGTGGATCAAAGATAAGGGGTGATGGGAAGAGGTCAGCTTAGATCATGAGGTCTGTGATAATACAAAGCTTAGAGCAGAGTCATGGCTGTGCAGAACATCAACATTTTGACAAGCATAATTGGTGGAAGAAACACTTTCTAAAAGCAGCAGCTATATTCACACCACTAGTATACACACTTTGGAAAATGCACAGTGGTGAGAAAATGCCCCTTGATTATGTTAGGCCTCCTTGTACAAATTCACTAGACCATACACAAGGCTAAGTCACCGTCTTCTCCACCCCACATCATCAAGATCCTAGGGCAACAAGCTGATGGACATTTTGCTTAAATTTAACAAATTCATGAACTTTCTTTTGCTTGATTCTATACAACTGGGGATGGGAGACTTCCTTGATAGATATATTTAGCATTAAGCAGATTCACACACATACCAGTCAGTATGGACTTTGTTTCCTGTTCACTATGCTTTGCAAACATTATCCAATTAATCCCCATAGCAATCCTTTGAGAGAAGTATTCCTACACTTATTTTACACACAGCAAAATTCGCCCAGGGCCACAGAACTTGTCACTGGCTCATTCAGGATTAGACTGCAGAGGTTTCCAATTCCTGCTCCTATGCGCTATGTAAGACCACACCTCTTTCTCATATACACACAAGCTTGTGCAAGCACAGAATGAGAAAGACAGAGAGCAAGGAGGAGACAGGAGATTTTTTTTTCTCTTTAAGTTATGATTTTCTAAAGGTGAAACAAGTAGGGCAGTAGAGCATCCAAAAGGACACTCCTCTAGAGGTTCAGCCAAAAGTAGATTAGATAAAAACACCAGCAATAATAATTAATAATAATAATGCTGCACAGTGTTGATGTTCTTACAGCTTCACATCTAAGAAATGAAAAGCTTTAGAGAAGCGCCACTTTTTCATATTTTGTTTCTGAAACAGCAGTTACGTTACAAAAACAAATGGAAACCCAGAAGACCCATTCAACTGTTTTGCACTTTTTTCCCTTTTGTCCACAAATTTCATACATTTTCTTACTCAAAGTTCAAATCAAATGCTGGTCAAAGAAACAGTACAACAGCAACAACATGAAGCAAAACTCAAGAGATCTTTTTCTTCACAATTAATTAGCTTTAGGCTATTACTGTCTGAGATTTCTTATCACTTTTTGTCAAGTATTAATGATGACTTCATTCCTCCCCCACCCACAACCGTTTAGTAAGATTCTCTTTTCTTACACAATGCTTACATTGCATCCATAAACTGGCAATTACTGACCCAAACCTATCAGGAATTGGATCTGTTCACCCCTTGTAAAATGCAGTATCACCCTAAACATAACCTGTCAATACACTAACACTCTTATCAGTAAATGGATAATGATGGGCAAGGGAGGGAATGAGAAGGGGGATAAATGGAACGTGGTAATACAAGTGGGTAACAGAAAGAACCAGTTACATAACATTGTGTCAGTTGGGATGGGTTATCTAATCATACCCAAACCGAGTGCATGTCTTGTAAGTGCTTACAGGGAAACCCATCTGAGGCACGTTTTGTAATTACCCAAAGCACTGCTTTGTCGCCCCTTCAGCACATGCATCTGAGCCCTGCACCTCACGTCCCCACTCCAACCCCCCAGGAAGCATTCATTCGCTTGCAGAATACTCACCTTGTCTCTGGCTCCTGCTCAGCTACTGTCCTCCCGCTTGTGGAAGCTGATGCTGGCATATGCACTTAATTCATCACTCAAGTGGCTACTCCCACAAGGCTGATTAGGAGATTTAGGTGGCTGATGCTGCTGCGTCGTCTGCTTGCCCCCTAGCAGAGAAGTGCTCTCCTGAGGGTGGGGGTGGTGATGCTGGCGCTGATTAAAATCCTTCACTAAGTCCAAGTCGATGTAATTGAGCCCATTCTCGACGCCGCCTCCTCCAGTCCCACCCGCAGCCGGCTCACTCCTGATGGCCGTGCCAAGGCCGAAGGAGGCCCCCAGGTCCCCGGGCTTGAGCCAGACGTTTTCAAAGGAGGCTGAGCTGTGGCGTTTTGCCTCGTCAGGACCTCCTCCTGGTCCGTGGGGCAGGGCTGAGGCACCAAGGCCACCACTAGGGGTGGTAGAGGAAGCAAATGTCTCCGAACTGTGACGCCGCCGACCTCCCTGCGGGTCAGCGCGGATCACTTTGGCACTCTGGCTGCTGCGGCTGGGGCTGACGTGGGAGAAGGTGCTGCTCATCCCTAGGCCCCCCACCATGGATGAGGAGCAGGGGTGGGGCAAGGCTGCGGCCAGCTCACCTGGTTGAGTCTGGGGACGTGGGGAAGGTAGCCCCACAGCAGGTGGGCTTTTCTCTGGCCTACCACGGCCCATCCTCATATCGGCATAGCTGAGCAAAAGGGCCGGAGGGGAAGGTGAGGGGGTATGGGCACACACTATATACTGCCCCCCACTGCCCACCTGCATGCTCATGTAGTCTCGGCCACCAGTGGGAACTGCCCCGCCCCGACCTGACTGCCCGGATGCCAAGCTGGAGGGGCAGGCAGCTCCCCAATCCATATTCATATACTCCTCTGAACTGGATCCAGCATCTCCATGGGATGACAGTGATGGAAAGGCCGGCTGCTTGAATTCAATGTTCACATACTCACCAGGGCTTTTGGGCTCCGGGAGCTGCTCCCGAGCACGAGGCAACGTGCTGGCCTTAGGGCCGTCCAAAGACAGACGGGTGGGTCTGGCCAGGCGGCTCTTGGTCCGCACAGCCATGTCCGCAGTACAAGAAGCAGCAGGCTGCAAAGGCTGTGTTTGGGGAGGAACAGAAAACCCACCACCCTCCTGACCTGCAGGGCCACCAAGGCTATCGCTACTAGTGGAAGAGGAAGAGTCCTCAGCAGCAGCAGCATACAGTAAGCGGCCGGAGCTGAGAGACATGCGCATCTGGGTGCCGCCCTCTTCGCCTGTCCTGCGCTGCACATGTTTGAAGGAGCGTGGGAGAGAGAAATAAGAGTAGATGGGTTTGTGGTGGGACTGAGCGGGGCCTTGCATGGATGGTTCTTCTGGGCCTGGAGGTCCTGAGCTGGTGAAGTAGCAATCTGGAGGAGTGCTGGTAGCAGACCCACTGGCTGGAGACATATTGATGTAATCGCTGCCCCCACTTGGCAACTTTCCCTCATTACTCTCCATGGATAACTTGGGATGGTGTCGTGTCCCATTCATCCATAGCTTGCTGTAGCCAGTGGGACCACTGTCCGGAGAACAACTCCCACTTGGAGACATCATCATGTAGCCATTGGAGTCCACCATGGCCTGTACATGACGGCCACCTCTCCCAGGGTTGATGATCTGCTGTGGGGCAGATACACTCTTGGGGCTCATGGGCATATAATCACCACCTTTGGGAGCAGTACCACCATTAGGGACAGGGGCCACCCCCGGCAACATGGGCATGTAGCCATCATCAGTGTGTGGGGTAGAACTGGTCTGGTGGTGGCTGCCCTCCACGTGGTGCATCTCTAGACACTCCTCAGGGTAAGAATGAGTTGGCACAAAGGCAGAATGTCGGTAGGAGGAGAGCCGACTGCCACCACCGCAGGAATACGAGGGGAGCATCTCAGTATATTCCTCAATGGAGGCCACCGAGGACTGTGAGGGTGTCTTCTGGTGGGAGATGGTTGGGGAAGTACCAGCTGAATGAGTCCGTTTCCTGAAGCCTTTATCCAGATCACCTGCATCCTCGCTACCAAGCCGGGGGCAGCATGGGACACCAGGATAGCGAGTCTGCTGCTGAGGATGGCAGGTGCGGGGGGTGAAATGACCATTAGGGGCTGTGACATTGCAGCAGGATGAAGTAGCCTTACCCCCCATACAAATATAGTTGCTAAGCTCCTCCTCCCCCCGGGCAGGTGGGGTATGTCCCAGGGAGTCTGGGGTAACACTGCGGAAAGAGCTCCGGAAGTCACAGGGGCTGGATCCGTACTCATCAGAGGAGATGAAGCCCCCGTCACTGGGGGAACCAGAAACTGAAGCACTGGACCTACGTGGAAAGAGGCAGTCAGACGTTGAGCCGTGGCCACTGGTACTGCTGGATGACAGGCTGACTGGACTCGTGGCAGAAGGGGAGCAACGTGAAGTAGGCATTGGGATGGAGCGGCTGTGGTTGAGAGGAGGATGAAGCCTGGAGTTTCCACGGTGCCTATGTGAGTGGGTCCGGTTGGCACTTGGACTCACGGGGCTTCCATCCACTGAAGCTGGCCTGGACATGGTACCTTCTCCATCACTAGAGGCTCTGACACGGAAAGAATTGGGCTTGCCCGTCCCTCCTCCACCTCCCACACCACTGCCAGCAGGAGAGGTGGCAGTCACGCTCTCAGTCCTGGACCTACGGCTGAGCCCCACCTGGCTGGGCGGGGGGTTGTTGACATGATGCCTGCTGCGGAGAGGCACAGAAATGGGGTTGGAGCAATTGGAGGAAGACTGGCTTTTGCTACGGGGCCGGAACTCCTCGCTCATAGCCCGCATAGCCTCCAAGATGGTCTCGTGCATGTTCTGTGCTACCACTGAATCATCTACCTGCATCCAGAACTCACCTGGTCCAGTGACTGCAGAGCGCCCCACCTCAATGAAGAAAAAGTTCTCTGAGTGGCCACAGCGCCGTATGTTGAGCAGCTGCAGCACCACCGCGGCAGCGTCAGAGTTCAGCTTCACAAAACTGATGGTCTTGTTGGTTAGGCACAGGCGGTAGATACCAATCAAATTCTTGGTCTGGCCCAGACCTTTCGGTTTCAAAATCACCTGCCAAACTTCTTTGAAGGCCGGGCCAGGGGCCATCTCCCCGTAGCTCTCCTCCCCCGCCTCTCCCACCCCGACACTCCCCCCTCCAACCGCAACGTCCCCATGGTGGTGGTGGTGCTGGTAGTGATGGCTCTTGGCCCGGTTGTGCAGTTGCAGCAGCGCCTGGTACCAACTCTCCTGGTCGGGCTCGCTGTCGGCAGCGATGGCAAAGTGCTCGTCCTTGGTGTAGAGAGCCACCAGATGCTTATTTTTGGAGTCCGCCCTTTTGTTGATGTTGAAGCAGCTCTCCAGCGGGATCGAGCGCTTGGGGGCCCCGGACTTGTGCCTCCATTTCTTCTCGTTCTCGTAGTACTCCAGACGGGCGGGTCCCGACTCGCTGGCCGCCCTGAGCACGAAGAAGCGCTTGTGCATGCTCTTGGGTTTGCGCAAGTAGCCAACCTTCCTGACATCGGAGAAGAAGCTCTCGTTGGCCTCCGTGGGGCTGGCCATGGTGGCAGGAGAGCGGGGCAGGGGCGGCCGCCGCTATCGCAACGGGCGGCTGCCGACCCGGTAGAACGAGGCAGGGGGCGAGGAGGGAGGAGGAGGAAGAAGAAGGGCGCCCGCAGCGGCCCCCAAGACAAGTCATGCGGCAGCCACCCCAGCGGCAGAGAAGGTCCCGAATCCCGGCGTCCTAAAAGGGGACGGGAGGAGGGAAGGGAAGCGTGGCAAGCGGGGAAACAGCTGTTCCGCGGCAGAGCCTCCCTCCGGCTCCAGAAGTCGAGGGACTCCGCGCGGCTCCTCTATTCCCCAAGAAGCCTTCGCGGGAGAAGCGTGTCTTTCCCAAGTCCAGTCCCGATTAAGCCCCCGGAAAGCCTCGTCCCGAGCGCGGCCGCCGGGCGAGGGGAGAAGCGCATCGTCTCCTGGGTACCCTCCGCAAGGAGCAATTTCAGTCAGACGCCGATTAAATATCCTCTCGGGGAGGGAGGGAGGGAAGCGCGGGGAAGGGAGGGCTGCTTTTGCAGAAGTCTCGTGGAAAGCAAGGCAACCTCCCCCCCCTTCCCCCCAAAATAACAACAACACCACCACGCAAGCCACCTCGTTTCTTCTCCCCGCCAAAATGTCTGTTAAAAAATCTCCTCTGCTGCGGGTAAGGGAAACCCAAACAAAAACACAAAAACAAATCCAAGATTTTTTCCCCCCCTCCTAATCTCAGCGATGAGATTGCAGCTTCTTCTTCAGCTTGTAAAAAGCGTGCCGGCAGGCGATCTCCGACGGTTGTGGAGAAAAAGAAAGTGCCATTTCGACACAAAATGTAAGCAGGCAGCTGCAGGAGCGGCGGCGGGGAGACGCTGCCCAAGTGGAAGGCAAGGCGGAGGAGGAGAAGGGGCATCCTCGGGGCTGCTGCTGCGGCTTCCTCCTCCTCCTCTTCTTCATTCCAGTCGGGAAAGTCTCGGAGGGCAGCCGCGGCGAAGCCCGTTCCTCCTCGTGCGCCCCAGAGTGAAGGGAGGCGAAGGCACAGGCAATGCGGCCGCGGACTTTGGCTCGTCGTCTTCGTCCTCCTCCTCCTCGGGCTGCTGCCGCAGTAGCTGCAGCTTCACAGACTTTCTCCAAAGCCCCAAACCAAAACAAGCGGCGGTGTCTGTGTTTATGAGTCCAGCCCCCGCCAGCCGCCGCCGCCGCCGACACTCCGTCTCACTCCAAGGAGAAAAACACGTGACGGCGCCTATGCGTGGACCATCCCCATCTCCAGCCCCTTCACCAGCAGCAGCCCCAAGCAGCAGCAGCAGCAGCAATAGAAGCTCCAGCAGCCTAACTTGGTGGCGCGGCATTCCAAACCCGCCCTTCCCTGCCCGCCCGCCGTGGCTTTCATTCAGCACCGCAGCGAGCGCGCTTACCTTTGGGCGCTCAGCCGCTCGGAGCCCTGGGGGGCCGCTATCCTATTGGAGCACCTGCCTGTCTTTCAAACCATCTAAGGCGCTGGAAAGCCAGACGGCGAGGCACCCAGGCTTGGTTGAGACGCACGGCGTAGTATTTTTTAAAAAAAAAATAAAGAGAGGGGAGGGAGCGAGGAGACGCCATTCAGTGGCATGTTATTTATAAACGAGGGGGCTGTGAATCTCGCCCTGTCCCTGACGTGCGGTCGCTGTGATTTCAGCAGAGGCGGTGGTTGTGCTGGGGACGCAAGGCACCCTGTCCCTCCGTTTCTCTCCCCCAGTCTGTCGCCTTTTTATAGTACGGAACCATCTTTTAAAAATAAAAAAAAAGAATGTCACAATATTTAGAGCTTTACGTTTGATATTTCTCCCCTCCCCGATTCCTATTTTACCACCTCTTCTTTTCTTCTTCTCTCGCCTTCTTCAGGTTGCCAGCCTATGCAAGTCCTGGGAAGGGAACAGGGTAAAAGTTGGATCTAGATAATTTCAAACGGATCCTCGGGAATTTATACGATTTTTACAATGAAGTAAAATAAAACCATGGTCATGTTATAGCATCCACAGCTTCATGGCACAGTGAAGGTGCAAAGACAGTTCCAAAGCACCTATCCTCATGGATCCCCTCAGGATCTTTGCACTGGGTCACCCCAAACGCACAATCAAATCATGTATATCAGGTCCATAGCCACAGATTGCACCACAAAAATCACAAATCCACTACTCTGTGGTACAGCCATGGCATTAAAACATTGTTTCACAGCAGGGATCCTTGTGGATCCCCAGGATTTTTGCAATGGAGGACCCAACACTCACCACCAAAACATATATCATGGATTGCACCACAGAAATTGTGAATCCACTGCTTCATGGTGCTGCCACAGCACAAAATTGTGGTTCAAAAGCACAGATTCTCACAGGTCCTCAGGAGTTTTGCATCGCGTCACCCCAAACTCACCATCAAATCACACATCATGGTCATAGCCAACGTTCCCTCTAAGCTGAGTTAGTGTGAGCTAGCTCACAGTTTTTTAGCCTCCGGCTCACACATTTTTGTCTTAGCTCAGAAAGGATGGCTCCAAAGCAAACTGATTTATGTAGTAGACAAATCACTCGCTCACAACTTTAATGCCAGTAGCTCACAAAGTTGAATTTTTGCTCACAAGACTCCACAGCTTAGTCATAGCCAAATGCAATAATGGGGAAATCATGGAACCACTGCTTCGTGGCATCCTCATGATTTTAAAGTGAAGTCATACAAAACATCATCATCTCACTGCAACATAAAATTCAAGAATCCAATACTTCAGGGTGTCACCGTGGGGTTAAAACTTGGCTCTAAAGCGTGGATCCTTAGGATGTTATGCGAGGTCACTCCAAACTCACTATCAAATCACTCATCATATCTGTGAACACAGACTGTACCACAGAAATCATGGCTCTTCTGCACATTGCACATAGACCTGGATTCAAAGTACAGATCCTAAGAATTCCACAGGATTTTCAAGTTAAGTCACACAGAACTCACCATCAAATCACTTATCACATCCATGGCCACAGATTGTACCACAAAATTGATTCATAGCTACATGGAACTGCTATGGGGCAAAAACATGGACCCAAAGCATGAATTCTCAAAATTTTTATATGGGGTCACCAACAAATCACATATGACATCCGTGATGGCAGATTTCACCACATAATGCATGGATCTACCTCTTGGTGGCATCACCATGGCTCAGAAACATGGATCCAAAGCACTGGATCCTCATGAATTTTGCATAGGCTCACTCAAAACTCTAAGAAATCATGCATCATGTCCATGCCCACAGAATGAATCACAAAGGACACAGATCCTTATCTTTGTGGCACTGCCATGGTGCAAACACTGCATTAAATATGCTTCAATGGGCTATAATGACAAAATAAAATACAATAGTCTTTTGGGGGGGTGGGGTGATTTCCTCCTTTCCACCAATCACAGAGATGCTCATAGTAGATGTCAGTTTTGTAATGTGAGAATAACTTTGTCTATGTATTTTTTGCATCATGCTGGGAAGTGCATGCAGGGATCGGTTACCTCCCGCATGAGAGGAACGAACGTACATTTTCTTTCCTATGTTAACAAAACATATACACTTCCTTATTTATGAGCGTGGATGTGTTCAAAACATAACATTAAAACTGACCCTGAGCTTCCACAGAGTGGATCTGTATGTATTCAAACAAGATTTACCTTTCTTTGGAATCACTTCCTGGAGTGACTCAAGCAAGCACATAGAAGAAGCACTTATGTTATCCATTAACACACATTGTGGTTAACCGTGTCTAGAACAAAAAGGTGTGGTCTTCATACTCCCAGTCAGTGGAAGCTCTAGGATTTTATTTATTTATTTATTTATTTATTTAGATTTTTCAACCGCTCTCCCCCATAAACTGGGCTCAGAGAGGTGTACAACATAATCATAAAACATCAATTAAAATCAAGTTAAAACCAATAGCAGACAGAGTACAACTAGAGTTGGCACTAAGAGCCAGTAACACCATTATCTCACGGGAGGGGAGGAGGTACCAGGATGGAGCCGTCGCTGTCCTCAACCAAACACCTGGCGGAACATCTCTGCCTTGCACGCCCTGCAGAACTGTAACAAGTCCCAGAGGGCATGGATGTTATTTGGCAGAGACTTCCACCAGATTGAAGCCAGGGCGGAAAATGCCCTGGCTCTGGTTGAGGACAGCCGGATATCTCTCGAGCTGGGGACCACCAATAGATTCTGATCAGCAGAGCGCATCACTCTTCTGGGGGTATACCAGGAGAGGCAGTCCTAAAGGTATGTGGATCCCTAACAGTTAGGGCCGTTGAAGGTCAATACCAAGATCTTGAACCTGATCTGGTATTCCAACAGAAGCCAGTGCACCTCACACAGCACAGGATGGATATGTGCTGTGCATGGTATCCCTGTGAGGACCCATGCTGCTGCATTCTGTACCAGTTGGAGTTTCCAAGTCAGCCTCAAGGGTAGGCCCATGTACAGCGAATTACAGTACTACAGCCTGGAGGTGACCATTGCATGGATTACAGTGGCTAGGTCGGGACGAGACCGATACAGGGCTAGTTGCCTAACCTGGCACAGTTGAAAAAATGCCAGTCTGGCAACATTTGCGACCTGGGCCTCCATTGTCAGAGAGGCATCCGGGATCACACCCAAGCTCTTAATAGTAGGTGCCGGTCTCAAGGCCACACCATAAAGAGCCAGGAGCTGCACTCCACTCCATAATCCCCCACCCCAGCCACAAAACCCCTGTCTTAGAAGGATTAATTCTCAGCTGGCTCTGTTTTAGCCATCTCACCATGCATATAGACATTAAATAGCATGAGGGAGAGGATTGCCCCTTGAGGGACCCCACGTAATAAGGGATACCTGGGCAATACCCTCTCTCCCAGTGCTACCTTCTGTCCCCGACCTTGGAGAAATAAGGTGAGCCACTTTAGGACAACCCCACAAACGCCTATGTCAGCAAGGCAGTGGGTCAGAAGATCATGGTGAACCATGTCAGACGCTGCTGTCAGATCTAACAACACCAGCAGCGTTGACCTGCCTCAATCCAGCTGCCTGTAGAGCTCATTTGTGAGGGTGACCAGAGCCATCTCCATCCCATGGCTGGGGCGGGAGTTGGACTGGAATGGGTCTAGGGCTGATGTGTCATCCAGGAATCTCTGGAGCTGCTCTGCAACCACCCTCTCAATTACCTTGCCCAGAAACGAAAGGTTTGAGACTGGGCAGTAATTGGCAGGATCCAAAGGATCCAAAGTTGGCTTCTTTAAGAGTGAAACGACCACAGCCTTTTTCAAACCCTCAGAGTAGACCCCCAAATCTAGGGACAAATTGATAATGTCCACCCGGGGGTCCCATATCCTCTCACCACCAGCTTTCACCAGCCAAGAGGGACATTGTAATGTATTCAGTAGCTGCCCTGAATGCA